TTCCAACCTTCACAATCAGTCCTGATAACAATTATTCACTATTGTATCACAAGAGACCCATCTGCATTTCATTTCATCAACTCCGCCTAGGCAGATTGGATGCTACTCACTGGAGATTCTGCCTTCCTCCAGGCCCCTTGTCTCTAGGTTCCCTCTTGAAAGCTTGTAAGCCAGTCACTTCTTGCCTTTGGGGTAGCCATTTTGGGTAGCCATTGTCCAAGTTGCCCTTCCCTGTCTACTCTGTGTGTGGAGGGGATGGGAGTAGGATATATATTTTGAGTTACCACATTAGCACTGAATTTAAGCTAAGACTGACTTCATGGATTTTTGCCTATTACTCAATTAAAAGTCAGCAATTACAAGATCGAAAACAACTGTTTGATGTGTTTGGAGGTAAAAGAGCCAACCTTGAAAATGAGCAGGAAGAAAATTTATTAAGTATTCTGAAACAGATCAAGAGAATTTATAGAAATGAAATATATGATAACTGAACGTTTGTAATCCTCTTATAAATGGCAAAATTTTAACAAGCACAGGAATGATTTTCATGAAACTCAGAATTGTTGTTGGTGTAAAGTGCTGTCGAGTCGATTCCAACCCATAGCGACCCTGTATAGGGATTTCAAGGAGCTTGAACCACCGGCCTTGAAGTTCAAATGGCTTTACAGTCTGACACATTAACCCCCAGTGCTATACCAGGACTCTGAAACAGAATAATACTTATAAAATAATATATACATAAAATCCTTGATGGAGATGAATATTGATTGTGGGGATATGTAGGGATTTTCTAAACTTCTGGTAATCTAGTAATTTCCTATGTTTATTTCTTTGTAGTTATATGTGTGTTTGTGTGGAGGTGCATGCATGTGTAACACTGGATTTAGTATTTACTTCAGTGTCCTTTTGTGTCTGATTTACTTCACTTAGCAAGATATTTTCATTTCTGGCATACCATGTAGTAGAACCTCACTTCTCATTTCTTCATTCTCATTTCATTTCTAATGTTCCATTGAATGTATATTCCACATTTTTTACATATTCATCTGTTCATGGACACTGGGTTCTTTCCATCTTTTGGCTATTGTGAATAATACTGCAGTAATCACTGACCACCACTCGTCTGTCAGTTTGTCATAGTGAGGTGGCTTGTGAGTTGCTGTGATTCTAAAAGCTATGCCACAGGTATTTTAAATACCAGCAGGGTCACCCATGTAGGACAGGTTTCAGATGAACTTCCAGATGAAGACAGACTAGGAAGAAATAGTGACGAACTACTTCTGAAAATTTTATGAAGAGCAGAGAAACACTGTCAGATGTAGTGCCGGAAACTGAGCCTGTCAGGTTGGAAGGCACTCAAAATGCGACTGGGGAAGAGCTTCCTCCTCAAAGTAGACTTGACCATGATGACGCAAATGGAGTAAAGCCCATGGGAGAAAAGCCCACGGGACCTTCATTTGCTGATGGGGCACAACTCAAAATGAAGAGAAAC